ACGCACCGTACGATGATGAACACACAGGTGAATAACGATGAATTAAGAGATATGGTGGAGGCCGATCCTAATCAAATTACCCAGAAATTAGCGGCATGGTTTAACGAGCGTTACCCACCAAACAATGTTGGCAAACCATGATGCTCCATGACATCGCGAGACCTCATACAGCACGAGAAACCGTTTAGAACCTTCAGGAACATTCGTCATCCTCGGTATTTGCCAGACCTTTCACATAGTTTGTGCAGTCTAGCACCTCAGAGTTCTATCGCAAAGGTATAAATGACCTTGTTATTTGATGGCTGCATTGTATAGATATTAATGGTAACTATTTTGATTAAATCAATTTGTTAAAAATTAAAAAATAAACAATTTTGATTTTCAGTACAAATCGGCAATTTCATACTTTCACCCCTATTATGAATAAATTATATTTAACATTTATTGTTTCAATATGATTTTATCCTTCGTTTAAATTTTATTATTAACTTTATACAAATAATAGACGAGAGCTTAACAAACAAAAAAAATATCCATGTCCTGTATACTAAGACAAGGGTCATTTGATTTAGGTGCTCTGTAAGTCGAATTTCCCAATCCCTATCTCCCTAATTTGTCTTAATTTATAGGCAAATCGAATAATGCAAATTCCGCGAAGTAACCCACATCATATATTTGCAATAACAACACAAACAAGCAAAACTTGTGTATTACGCAAAATCTCTTATATTATTAATTGACAAATTATGCGAGCGTCAAGGCCTTTGCAATTCCACATGAAACTGTGGTCACTAAAAGATCAATTGTGTCTTGTAACCAGAATAACAGTAGGTTTCATAAATTTTATCTCATTTGGGTTGATTTTGATTCCTCATGCTTTGTTGATGAATTAACGCTCTACATACACTCCATAGTGTGATACGACGGTTTAGATTAGATTAGATGTTTAGGTGCTTCATGTTCTTGTTTAGACAATCTGTAACCGTCGTGGCACTTAATTTCGTATGATACTGATGTCTAATTTACAGTATTCAGTTAAAGGTCGAACAATCATATCATAATCATTGTATTGAGCTGTAAAAACTCAATACAGTTTAGCAAGTTTTATGTTTCACTTATTGTATAAGTTTAGCAGTTAGCTTTTGTGGATTCATGCACGCCAAACCTCAAAGCATATTTTCGATCGATACATTTAATCATTAAAATAGAATAAAAAAGATAATAAGACACTAGTTAATATTCAAATTAAGAGGTTTCAGGTCTTTAAACTTGGTTTAGGAATGCTATTAGGTTTGTTTTTAACTCTAGACGAGAAAGATAATTTGTTGTGCTTCTTGACAGAATTGCACAACTGTCAATAGTTTCAATGACCGCAGTTTACTTTGGTAAAACTTTTTTCTTAATTAACCAACTTCAATCTTTTAAAAAGTGACAAATAATACTTATCTCAAAAGCGACTTATTCAAGGAAATGCTATTGAAGGCGGAGGTTTTCTGTAGGTTATTAATTAAATTCTAGGCGCCCGATTTTGTATATTTAGTTTATCACTTTACTAAAGTTTGAAATCAGTTTCAGTAAATAGAAAAAAGTTATTATTTTTAATGAAAAATTATTAAAAAAAAAAATTACTTCGACCCTGATACTCTGAGAAGGGATTTTTTTATTTCATGCATTTTAGTGATATCGATATTTTTTCATAATAGGTAATACTTTTATAAAAATATATATACATATACTCGTTGAATATAGAAAATCCTCCTAATGCAAAATACGCAATCTTATGTTTTATAGCTGAAATAATATCATCTAAATATATAAGTGTATTTTCTTTTTTTTATAAACGGAAAACTACTGATTCTATTTCGATAAAATTAAACAAGTCCTCGGTCCATTAAGCTGTTGAATAAAAAACGAATTTCAAAAATTGCTCTAGAATTGGCGGAAATATCGGTGAACATATGTATATAACATAAAAAATATAAATCGCCATCGAACATATAACCTGCTCCTTTTCGATTTTCAAGTCAGTTAAAAAATAGTAACGATTTTCATCACAGAACATAGAGAGAGAATAGAAGTAGTAAGTGGGCGGGGCAAGCGTCGCTGGCATATGCGCTTTTACTCATATGACGCCCTTTCCTCGGTTTTATGTTTGTCAGTCGTTCGTCAATCGTCGAGTGGTGATTTTACTGAATTTTTCTATAAAAAATACCGTTTTGTGCTATTATCACTTGCAAAAAGCAAAACAAAGTATACAATCTAACTAATGCAAACATTTCCTTTCACTGGTAAGTACAATTTTAGTGCTAAAATATAAAAAACGTAATAATTTGACACAATTTCAAATAAAATATACATTGTTTGCTCAAACCAACATTAATGTTTCTAACCCCGTTTCTAGACAGCAATGTAAATCATATTGTGCACTTTTGCAAAAAATAGTGCTGTGCCTCCATTTGTCTGAAATGTACCGATAGGCTGCTGCTGCTCGGAATCGTATTGTTAATTATATGGATCGTAATCGATAACTAAAACAAATTTATTCTTTCATCATTTCATAACAACGTTATGGATCAGTATATGCCATAATTATATAAAAATTAATACTACTGTTTAAAAGAGAAAATAAAAGATGAATTGATACTGAACAGATGAAATAATGAACTATCCAGGCACTTTTTTACGAAGATTCGGTTAATTATTTACACGCAGATAAATATTAAAAAATACTGATGTGCTATAAATATCTAAGTTAAGAAGTATATCTACGTTTTATGAACAATATATAAATCAAACGAAACTTCGTGAAAAGCTACGAGTGTTGGCCTAATAAGTCTTATTAGAAACTGATGAAACTGGATTTCACTTATTTTGCATTACTTATATTTCAGTTTCCCTAATAACTTTACAACGGCTTGCCCTGTTTACATAATTTATTTTGTCCTTTCCGTTTTAGACCTAAACCTATCAAATGAATTTCAAAATAACATATTATCTATACAAACAAAAAATCATGTTTTCAACTAACGTAATATTGTTGGTGGTGTGAATTTAATTTACAAAATTAATTTATAGGCGTCAATTTAATTTACTTTATTATGTTGATACATAATCGGAAACCATTATTATAGAAATCGAGTTAAGATAGCCACTTTAAAGAACCGCTCACAGAACAGCTTTTATCAGTTTTTTTGTTGTTCCATATTTTCACATAAGTTTATAAACGCATGTCTCAAACGGATGTGACTTTATATGTAGATTGACGTTTGTACGTACTTATCGCTTTTGTGTCTGTCTTCAAACTTTTTTGTCACGGCTTTCAAACTCATACTTGACCAGCGATTCCTTATTGTCCAGTCGTTGCAATTAAAAATGTAGGTACTATTATTATTACAGTTATAAAACTTAGAATAATTAAGTAAAACAAACATGGCTATGATCAATTTATTATTGTAATGATCATATTAGTTATTATGAAATGAAATGAAAATATCTTTATTCAAGTAGGCTATTACAAGCACTTTTGAATTGTCCAAAAAATTTTTTTCCCCTACCACTTGTTCAGGACGTCTTTTAGCTGACAAGAAGAACAAGCGAAAGAAACTTACCAGCCCTTTATCATAAGTAATGATATTTACATAAATCATGTCATTTCATATCATATCACAATAATAAATACAACTTTCAAAGTCTGTAGGACATAGGTTGAACATATAATTAGTCTTTATAAAACAAAGCGATGGCTAGACCGTAAATTATATATAGCGTGGACAGCTCTCTTTTGTAGAATAAAAATATCTTGAATACTAGCCGCAGAACCCCACAACAATAGATTATACGTCATTACACTATGAAAATAACTAAAATATACCAATCCTGCCGTTTCAACATTTGTCAAGAGTCTAATTTTCTTAACAGCAAATGCTGCAGAACTCAGTCTACTTGACAAATTATCAATATGAGGATCCCATTGCAGTCGGGAATCTAGTGTAATACCAAGGAACTTTATCGATTTCACCAACTCGACTTTTTCAAAATTTACATTTAATAAGTGTATTAATATGCCTCACATTAGGTAATGCAAACTTTATGTATTTCATTTTATTTGAATTAAACTTTAAATAATTACTATCAAACCACTGTAGAATATTGTCGAACTGAATCACATTTAACTGTTTCATAACAAAATTTGAACCTCTTATTTCATCAACTTATATTATGTCACATCACTAATATGCACAATCGGAATGATACCAGTAAGAAAAAATTACAAATAAGGCTTAATGTAATTAATACAAAAATTCTGTTGGTTTCTTAATTTTAGTTTTTTTTTACACTTTCCCTCGCTTAATTATATTACTCCACAGACATATGATAGAGTTTATCATAAAGTTTTCTTAGTTTTTGTACTGCGTTTTTAAAAGAAGTTATATAGGGAAAAGCGTTATTTTTCAATATTCACTTGATTACAGCAAAATCTAATCTTAATAGTTCGCACATAAAATGATGTCCCCAATTTTTTAAATGTGCATAATCTTAAAATATTTTTTCCCTTCTGGTATCCCCGTATACAGCCATGTGACAGTTCAACATTTATGTTAAAGTAAATTATTTATTATCACGTTGAATTAGAGTTTGTTTTTAATCGTGTGATTTCTTAGCTTAGTATCTTTTTGGGATTTTGTTTATGTTATCGCGAACGTATCGCGTGGCGGTTTTTCATGTAGTGAACATAATGATCATTTCATCTATTCTGTATTTGTGTGCGGAGAGGCGACACTCAGTCCCCATACTAAATCAATATCATTATACTTCTAATCTCTCTCTATGTTCTGTGATTTTCATGCTATTGCTATCAATAGTGTAGTGATATTTTGCCATGAATGGCTATCGATACAATAATATCGATAATCGTTATAGATAAATAATCATAATGATATTATTACCTCCGATAGTATTGATATTATTGAGTATTAATACTTAACATTTTTATAATAATAATGTCAATATCTTTTGTTCTTGTTATAGCGAACACAGCAGACCTCGGTGTGTTAGATCCATCTCTATATAAACCTGATTGCTTAGACGAGGATCTCCTTTGGCCGGAAGGACATGTGGTAAGTGAATAATTAAACATCACTTTACTAAGATCAATGAGGCACTTTACATTTTAATTGAGCCGCCTGCGGAAAGGTCAATCAAATTATCAGACCATATTTACTTAGCCTTTTCAAAAAGTTGTTAAGAAAAATATAAATATACTCGGCTTTGTTCCTCTTAAATTAGTATATAACACTTGTAGTATTATATGCTCATTTTTTCGGACGAAGCTTTCGTATGATTATGATAAAATTTCAAGTACAGCTGGTTTAATAATTAATTATATACCCTCTATTAGTATATATTTATGCTAATATTATAAAGAGGAATTATTTGATATTTGCATAGAATATACTTTGCTGGACTTACTTACATTCACGCTAGTGAAATTTAGCTATAATTTCCTTGGGGGAAGTTGCGGCAAAACAGCTAGACTAGTATAAAATCTAAATATGAAATAGTGTAACACAGGGTAATTAAATATTTTAATATTTATTCAATTATTTTTGTCTTCTTCTTTATGTAATGAAACAATTTTTATGATATAAGTCGACTGGAAAAGCTTTGGTATACATGGCATGGAATTGAATAAATTTTAATACCAATCGATTTTTACCCGTTAAAAGTTGTTTTATTGAGTTCTGTTTTTAATAAATTCATAAAATTTTAATTTGGTTTTTTAGAATCGTTCTCATTGATTTTGCTGTTTTAATTCTGCTTACAGAGCTATATAAAAATAATACTTTCTAAATTTTGTTTCGTATATGAATGTGCTGTACGATGATAATAATAATTTATTTGCGTTTAAATAGGGTATACAAAAGAGATGTAAAAGGTAATACAATTATCGCCTATTCAGCCATTAACAATAGCATGCAAATGTAGTAAAAGAGGTTTAGTTACCTATTTTGGAATCGAAATTATAATAAGTTTGGATGGACTGCTTGAACATTGATGAAAGTACCCTCTGTTGTAGCGAAAAAGTAACAGGTGCTTGAGAAATTCATCAGTCCTCTTAGGCCCTGGGTAGCTCAGTAATTAGAGCAGTCGCCCGGATTACGAAAGGTCATAGTTGTGAGTCCCATCTCAGAGGCTGCTGTGCAGTTTGCAGTACAGTCTGCCAACTATACACACGTTAATAGATGTATATTCATACTACATAATAAAATAAAATCAGTCTTTTAAAAATAACCTAAAATATGGGTAACGAAGAAATAAAACACGAAAAGTAAAAATATATTTTACTGACCTTCGCATTTGATACAACAAAACGTTATATTCAACAATTCGAGCGTGTACAATAGAATAATATGTTAAATACATTCATGAATAATAAAACGACAACTTTGTTGAAAATTACTTTCTGAAAATGGAAAATTTGAGGAGTGCTTACTATCAAATACAAATTATTTTTAAAATAATTTACAATAAAGGAACAAGTAGATAAGTATACCACAAAATATACAGATCAATGTTCTCTTTACCTAGAGACGGTTTCCCATGAAGAATAACTGTAACGTAGAATCTCTTACTCAATATCTGACAAATTAGCCTAACTATGCGTTGTTTGATAAGGCTTGCTTGGTGTTTCGGTTCTACTCTCACATAAAACATTGTTTTCATTTATAAATACGTATATCACAAATTCCTGTTAAACAATCGTTTGCTATTTCATTAACGATAATAATGAAATAGCAGCTCGAACACTTATGTTACAACTCAAGTAACACGATATCAGACCAAAGATAATATAGAAAAGTTTTTTCATTATTTGACCCCAACCAGCCTTTGTACCCGATACTTCAGAATTTGTGTTACCTATAAAATCGGCGTGCTAGCTACTTAACCACGGAATAGAAGGATAGAAATTTTATCGGCGTAAAGTGTTTTTGTTGTTAAATAAATCTTCACAAAAAGGGACAGGTATTTCTCATCCAGTGTATCGTATCGTATTAAATAGCACTCATCTCTTCGAATGATATATGTAATTTAGCCCGGTCTATGATTTCCCCTGACGGCATTCAGAAGTATGTCGTTCACACCAAAATCGTGTAGGTAATTTTCGTTGCAATCAAGTTACAATCAGGCTTCTTGCAGCCTTTCGTTTGGCTGACTTGTTTATAGATTAGCGTAAGCAATCTTAACCTTTCATGCATTGTACTACTTTAAAAAACATTGTGTTTTAAAGAATGCAGTAATCGTTTCTTGGCGTGACTAATGCCTTGATTTCACTTTAAGGGAATAAACATCTTATGTAGTAAGTAGCTAGTATAAAAAATGTTTTGGACTATCTCAAATAATTTATTCAGAGAAATTGGAGAGCTTTCAAATTGTAGGTCTTCGGATTCTGATGAATGAAATAAATTTAGATTTAAAATTCTGTAAATAACTAAAAAGCTTAACAACGAAGAATGACTAAGACGTTTAAGAGCTTAATGTTTTGCCTCTATTCTATATGTACATAAAATATGTATGTTTATTTCTTCACTCCAACTCTAAATATTGGACTAAAAGTATAGAAGTTATGGCTCGGAAATATAGACAAAAATTATATATAAATTTATTGTACCAACAATTTTGTCATAAGAATAATTTAAAAAATAAAAATAATATATACAGTACGTGTATAAGATTATATAATAATTAACAACCAGATGACATTAAATTTTTGAATATTAATGAATTTAAATTAAAACTGACGAAGTGGCTAATGGAACACAGCTTCTATAGTGTAAAAGATTTTTGTTTAAAGAAAAGTGCATGATTTAATAGGATAATATTACGATTACAATATCTGCACGCCTGTTCTCAAGTACAATACTGTACATATTTAATTATTTAATTTTGTGACCTTATTAAATTGTATTCTAGTAAATAAAGATCTTATCTAAGATAACATACATATTATTAACATCGTATAAGTACATGGATTTATTATTATGTACTTTTTGGTTGAGCTTAGAGAACAGTACAACAGAATTGGCACCATTAGCATTTCAAATCAATAATGGAATGAGTAGTGAGTTATATGATTCGTTTTATTTTATATGATTCTTTCCAATGAAAAAAAGGGAATTGCCGTTCTGCAGAAGTGCCGTAGTCCAACAGTAGGGCCATTAAGAGGCTAATAACCTATCGAAAATTACTTTGAACATTCATTACTTCTTTTAATAGTGCTTGCAAATTCTTATTTAGACATCTGGTCAACCATGAAATAAATGTTTCATTGAAGATTACATTATAATGATATTAATTAATCGCAACTTGAAAATACTGAGTTTAGTTTAATGAAAAATGATTTTTCTGAAAGCTCAATTGGTTTTTTTACCTTAATATTTGATAACAGAAAGCAAAAACATTGCAAATCGAATTTCACTACAATGATGGGCGGTCAGCTTAATTGAATTTCCATATGATTTCTCTAGGGACGCGTGTGGTTCACTTTGAAGTACGAGTCTGGCACTGAAAGGCTCCAGGTGCATATTATAAAGGCGAAACACCTCCCATCACGAACTCCCGCGCTGGCCAACGCATGCGATCCTTACATAAAGTAAGTATCATGGGACGTAATCAAGGTAATCAAGCTATAACAAGTATGAATATGGTGTTAGATCTTCATTAAACGATTTTTCAAAATTAATGTTGATAATAACTAATCCACTTTTAATAATTATAACGACTTAGATACATTCTTTATCAATTATTCGGCGTAAAAAAGGATTTCCCTAAAGCTTATAAGCTTATGATATATTAGTAGGAAAAATAACGTCCAAAGTTTTTATGTTTGTGTTATCATTAAGTATTCTAATGTGACTTATGTTAACAACGATAAAGCAATGTTCTTTAAAGGGAACATTTCAAAGATGTAGTAGAGACCTATGAATTCATTAATTGTGTGTAAATAGAAACGTACTAAAAACTTTGGTAGGTGCATATTTGCGACACGTAATAAGGTAGATGACTGAGTGAAAAAAAAAAGAAATTTTATTAAGTCTGTCAGTCTGTCAGTCAGATTACATAAAATTATGAGATATGCATTGCTTCGATTTAATAAGAAATGGCATAGATAATCGGCATTAAAATTGAGTGTGGGGTCCCTACATCACAACTATGTAGGAAATGTACAAAGTTGTGACGTCATGCGACATTTCAACTCAATGTATCGCCGTATTTTATTCAAAAAACGTGCTTAATATTCTTTGATAATCTACTCGACAGACAGTCAATTTTTGCTGATTTTTTTTAATGTACGTCTAAGCTGATAAAATACGATATGATATTGAATATATTATACTTCTATAAGATGTATGGTGGATCTTGCGTCATATTTCTCTTTGTTCATTTTGGGTATTGTAGGTTTTTAAACAGGTTTGGTATTTTATACAGGATTCACTTGATGCCAGATGAAAGGAGAGTACTGCAGACAAAACAAAAGAAGAAAACCTGCAATCCATTCTTTGACGAATCATTTGTATACCAGGTTGGTAATAATATTTTTTCTGACAATCAAGTATAGAATTTCTCCAGTCGATTTAAGCTTCAATTTTAAACGACTATGAAAAATTATAATGATCTAGTAACCTCTTATATTCCTTAATATTTACATAACGTAATGTTCTGTTGTGTGAAATACATAAGTTTTCTTACTTATCTTATATTGTAAGTTATATTTTGCAATATTCTTAATAGAATATTGAATTATAACAAAAAAAAATCATTAACATGGGAAATGAAATCATTTCCCATGTTAATGTTTTTTTTTTTGTTTTCAAATAAATATATAACATAGGTACATATTATTACAAGCAGTTTTGAATCGTCCAAAAGTTTTTTCTTCTGCCACTCTTTCAGGACGTCTTTTATTTAAGATCTTACCTGCTCTTTTTCTAAAAAACTACATTTACTTATTATTTTATTAGGTGGGTCCAATCTTTCAATATCAATTTGACTCAATTTCTCGACTTAGATTTTGGATTATACTGAAATGTTTACTTCTACGATAATTAAATATCACAACGAACAACCTAGAAGATAGATATGTTGCCTCTGGGATTAATCGAAGCAACGCCATCATGTTTGGCCTCGTTTATTTTATATGATATCTCTGGTTCAAAAGAGAGAACCCAACAAAAATCTTATATAAAAACGTATCAAACATATTCTCGCTATACTATATATAACTTAGAATGTGATTTCTTTCTTTGTCAAATCAATATTTATTAAATAATCAATTTTTCGTCTGTTTTTTGGAGTCCAGTTACTACATCCAATCTCCATTTTAAAATTAGCTCATATACAATCATTCGATAATCAGAATCTGAAGAAAAAACTCTCTTTAATAATACCTATAAATTTAGAATTTTAAATATAGAAGAAAATATTTATAGATATTATGAACTAAATGAGATAACAGAATTAATTATATATTATAAATTTCAAATAACATTTCGAAACATGTCGTAATGAATCTAGAATAACACCACTTAAAATATCGAATATTCGTTGATTCACAAGTGAGATTTAATTCATTTTGAAATTTAAGTTTATTAAGTGCTGAATTTTATGAAGCAATATTGTCGTAAGGTAATATAGATTATGCAAAATGCAAAGAAAATTTGTAGTTACATTAATCCTAATTATATAGATATTTGCTAAGTACTAACTCGAGTTGAAGGTTGAACGAAGAACGTAGATTACCTACAAATTAACTTTATTAAACAGTTCAGTGAGTTTAAGGATAACAATATAGACAGCGTAAATAGACTATGATTTTATCGAGAATACCTACAATATACAACAATAACAATAACATTACTACGTAACCTATATTAATGTATTTTTTGATATAAATTGATTCCACTACCAGCCCTTTTACGTCCCCACTGCAGGGGCTCAGGCCTTCCTCATGGATGGTTGAGGAGGATGGGCCATGACCCTCCACGCTGGCCCAATGCGGATTGGAGGGTATTAACGACTGCAAATGCAGCCGGGACCAACGGCTTAACGTGCCTTCCGAAGCACGGAGTAGCTCGAGATAATAATTTTTTTGGTCCCCCATCCTGTGACCGACCCTTGCGAAAGTTGCTTAACGACTACGATCGCGGGCCGCGGCGCTTATCCACTACGGCACCGAGCTACTATATTAAAAAACTTAATTGTCGTTTAATTAGAACACTTAAACATTTACACATAAGAAATTGTTATCATAATTTGAATTACACAAATTTCAACGTAAACCAAGTCGGGTCCTGCTATGCAGATAACTTTTAATTATGGCTGTACTAATATTGTCCAATTATTACAGTTCTAATTGTATTAAATTTCTTATGTTATGAAAAAAATATATTTAATTATAACAGACGTATCTTAAAGTGGGAATTGTGTTTTAATAAAAGGTATATGATTTGCAATATCGATAAGAATTATTTCCTTTATTTACTACACACAATACCTAATCAGACTATTGACAATTTTGAGGAAGCGTCTAAAGTGCCGTCAAACAAATTGATCTTAATGGTGTCTGATGTTTCCGCTCAGATTTTCCCTGTCACTGTAATTTGACCTATAACTCAAATTTCAATTTGATTGAATGTCGACTAGTGAAAATATTTTGATAAATATAAATATATATATTATTATGATGATATATAGGTATGATTCTAAAATATGAAATGCGATTTCACATAAATTTATTCATTTCGTCAATAATTAATTAATACATTTATTTATTTATGAGTATCATAAATTTATGATATCTGGCAATTTTTTTCTTACCATAACCCCGTTTAATATGATATAATTTCCTAATTAATTAAGAACTAAATTGAAATTACATTTTTTATTTGCTGAAAGACGTCCGACTTCAACTAACATGCTTCAATCAACAACTGATCGAAACTAACATGTGATTAAAATAAGTGTATTCAAATGAAGAATACGAGTATTTTCATTTCATTTCACTGTGACAAATGCTCCAGGGAACGTAAGATTTTCATCATATTTCCTTGAAGAACGAAGAGCATTAGATATAACAGCGCTATTTGGCTTCCAACTTACACTGAGTTATCTTTTCTAGTATTCTTATGTTTATTGAAATAAAACATACAATATTTATTTTAGTTGATGCAACTATCTTTATTATAAAACAATAATATAAGTAAAAAATTGCCTTATTTGTTAACGAAATTGAAATACAACAGTTATGAATTAAGCTGAATTTGATTTTAATGCGACCATACTAAATTTTGTCTAGATGTGCTTATAAAATTAACACCACTGTCTATTATAATAATTAAGTGTGACTATTATAATTACTTGCTCAGATTAAACGCTTATAATACTTAGGTGTTTTGATAACAATTAATCCTGTTTAAGCCGTATAATTAAATCAGAAATAATCCTGTTCGGCTTTTGTGTTATTTTAGGATTAAAGAGCTTTGTTCTCATAAGAAATATTCCATTTCACTTATAATGAGATGGGTATAGATTTTTGTCATAGGGTTATTGTACTGTATTTATTTTCTTTGTTATTTTGCGATATTTAAAAGTATAAACATGGAATGTTTTGTGAAAATATCAAATCAGTACATAATCCTTGAAGCTTTGTATTTATATTTTGTACAGCAATAAAATATTTTTTTAGCATTGTAAACATTTTGTTTTGACCTAAGTCGGTAAGGGATAATATTTTTTCAATAATAATTTGATAATCTAGTAGATTGGAATTCTAACTACGAGTATTTTTCAGTCACCAATATGAAACATTATAAATTTAATCGTTGGCACTTTTAATTGTTTATAAAATAAAAATCTAATATCGGAATAATTTTACTGCATTAGATCCCACCTGGTAAGCTGGAAGGCTTGACCCTGAAGCTGTCAGTGCTGGACGTCGGTAGAGTGGGAAAAGGCAAGCAGCTCATCGGCCATATTATATTACCGCTTAGTGAATTGGAAGGCGTTGCTTCCGACGAAGAACCACAGTTATATAAACTGGATATTGAAAAGGTAAAACTCTATTTTGTTAAAACCGAGAATAACACCGAGAAAGTAATCCATTTTTATAAGAAAAGTTTAAATATTACGCGGTGATAATAACTTCCCCTTGTATTATTATTAGGTATACTAGGTTCGCAAACATAGTTACCAGATATAGGTATCTAGAATAATGTTTCTTGCAAATCATAAAAAAAATATACAAAAAGGCACCGCTATCCTACATTACTTCTTAGATTAGATAACATTTAATCTATAAAACATTATCTACCGGTTTCTGAATTCAAAAGGACCAAATTTTAAATGATTATCCTCAAAGTTATAGAGTTTATTACTTTTCTCAAAGCAAAAATCCTAGTTTTTATCAAACTGCTTTCAACTCATCAGTAAAAAAACTAAAATCAGAAACCAAAATCTATAAATGACGTCTAAATACAGTTTGAGACGCGTCTAACTTTAGATACTCACTTCGGAAACCGTGTGATAATGTGCAAGCAAAGTGACTCTGTCAGTTTATTTACACTTTCGCACTTATACCGCTTTACTAGTTTAGATAATATTGGGTACAAAAATACCTATTATAGGTATAACATCCTGAGACGAACGTTAGATAGTTTTTATTTCAGAAAATATCTCCTAAAGCAGCAATAAGGGTAAACAAATTTGTTTTTAAAATCTTTCGTCTATAGTTTGCGATTAAAATAAAATTTGCTAGTATTTAATAAGGATCTTTCAGATCTATTCGTTAAATAAGATTTGATTTTGTATAATTAACAAATGCTAATTTGCTGTAATAAATAAATAAAGTTAAAAATATGTCATCACTCATCATTTATAATTCGTCATTTTGTCTGCTTCCTTAGGCTTTGATATATCTATACCATAATAAAATATGATCATTTTTACAAAGAATATTTTAACTGAGTAACTTTATTAACAGTATATTGTTTTTTCACAGGAGCTCCAAGAGCCGACGTCAGATTTAGGGGAAATTCTTGTATCCCTTTTGTACAATGAAAATCTCCATCGGCTTACAGTCACCGTGATAGAAGCTCGAGGTCTTAAAGTAAGTAAGATAAGAACCAAGGACAGCTGTCAGTTAGTATTTACATATAATTTTTATGAATATAAAAAAAAAATCCGTTTCACGATGTTTGTCCGCTGTCAATTATAAAACTACTCCTATCTCTGTCACAGTCTATTCTGATTTTCACCATCCAAACCAAATGTTACTAATACAATAATGACTGTGTAATATAATGTAATACTTAAACATCGTTAATATTTAGATTTAATAAGCAAATACTACAATAGTTATCAAGTAATGGAATTTGTAACTAATAATGGATATTTGCTTTTTAAATTATGGAATGGGCTAAAGTATTATTATATATGATCAATTTTGCATTCACAATACTATACTAAAAATATTCTTGATGAAAATTGCTTAAAAATCCAATCTGTCCCTGGCACTCTGAGATGGGACTCGAACACATGACCTTTTGCAATTCGAGCGACTGAACTATTGAGCTACCCAGGACCTAACAGGACTGATGAATTTTTGAAGCGCTTGTTACTTTTTCGCTACTACAGAGCGTATTTTCAACAATATTCAGGCAATCCACCCAAACAGCCGAAAGAACTTACTTTTACAAATATTTATACTGTCGATAAAGATAAAAATTTGTTTTTGAAAAAATACTTGACAAATTCGTCAGCCCTGTTAGGTTATGGGTAGCTCTGGGGTTAGACCAATCGCCAGGGTTGCCAATGGTCATGGGTTCGAGTTCCATCTCAGAATGCCAAGACCAGAGTAATTTTTTTAAGCATTTTTCATTTAAATTAATAATAATGATATTAATCAATAACTTTTAAATTCCTCAGACCCTAATTAAGTAGCGCAAGCATTCATATTATAGAAATCTGAAGATAACACAAACATATTTGAGACAACATGGAAAACGGTACTTTCTAAATTGAACAGACCGGGAATCCAACGCGGGACCTCAGACATATACACATTGAAACTGACGTACACATTGAAATCACTCTGCCACGCCAGTGACGAGGAAAGACAGGGTTTTTGTTTGTCCCGTTGGAGAAATACGGTTCACTGAATTCTGATATCATAAGTGGCATATTTCCACCCTTCTCGGAAAACTTGATGTACATATCTCAATAAATTATGCTCTTGTAAAGCCTATTTGGACTCGACAACGTGTATAAAAAATCACACCCCTATAGCAAGAACTGTATCTCGTAAGAATTAACACGATACCTATTTTATTTGCTTCCATTGCAAATTATCGAAATATGCGTTTCTTTGAAGTCATATTAGCATTTCGAAAATAGACAAAATTTCGTTTTCTGAGAAATAGAATAGGTGTCATCTCAATTTGTTAATTGTTAGATTTTCGTTACTTAGAACTGGAATAAGCATAAATCGATTTATATTAATAGTTCGCAATTTGGTATTCTGAAACAAATATTGAATTTTATTTCCTTCCTTCCATTATTAATATTCTATAGAGAAAATTATTTAGTAATGTTGACCATTTGTATGCCAAAATATACAAAACTTTTAATAATGTAATGCTGTCCGCGTTGCGAAACTTGGTGAAATTTACATAATGTAGTTAGTGGGTACAACTTCACAAGGTCATACAGTATTGTCCTGATTTAGGTAAATCATATTAAATTGAAACCGATATATAAGGGATTTTGATGACCGATCGCAAACGATTATTGAGAGTCGATTAAGCCAGAAACCAGAAATGAGTTAGTGAGGAGCGAGATAAATCCTTAAAGAGTAACATTTTTATAACCTTTCATTTACTTTAGATTTAGTTCTTTTCCGTTTTCTTTAGATTTTGACTACCTCCGTGTTCAAGTGACTAGTACGCCGGTTTCAATGTGTCACCATATCTGGAGTTTGATCCTCTGTAGCGTCAATGTAGAATATTTTATATATGTTGTTGCAAACAAATATTTACAAATATTTACGCACATTTAGGACAGTTTTTGAGAGAGAAATTATCCCAGTTGGGTAATGGATTAATGGATTGTAGAACTAGAATCTGACAGCTACACGTTTAATAAAAAATATACTCAATGATCAAATTGTTTGTTACAAAACGTTTATATCAGTGATAAAGTTCGTATATATTCGTACTGACTTAGTTAGCAGATTAAAACATTTTTAGAGTAGTGTTTAAACTTTCTTTGGCGCTGTAGTGCGACAAAACTATGAATTATACGAATATAATTTATTTACTATACAATATCAAAACCAATTAAATATCAAATGAATTAACACATCCGCAACGTTATTTAGATTTTTGTAAATTGGAATTTATAAAACCTAAATTAATTTCAAACACTTCTGTTCAGCTGCCATCGCCCTATGTAAATTCAAATTCACTTTATCACGCTGCTATGGTCAACGGTTAAAAGGTCGAGACTTTTGACATTTAAATGAATATTTTAGATTTAAATAAGCTTGCGGTTCACATAATTTCTTTCTAAATTACTGAATACCACGTGATTGAATTCGCTGTTACACTATCAAATCAAAAGACAGAATCAAAGCTTCTGTTTTAACCATTACAAATATAAGATGAAATTAAAATAATTATTTTTATAATAACTCCAGCGACTTCGTCCATGTGGCTTCCCGTAGGTGAAAAACAAAATTAATGATCTGATCAGTATTTCCAAAGGTTACCTCCTACTCATATTTACCTATTTATAATATAAGTAGGTATAGATAGGCCATTTATTAAGACTTAAACAGTCTCGTCAATTTTTAACCCACCTAAAAAAGGAGGTTATCAATTTGACCTGTGTGCATGTTTGTTTGTTCATGATTATCTCGTGTTTGGCTGAACCGATTTTGATGAAGTTTTCAGCGTAGTATTTGTCAGATTTAGGCGAAGGTTATAGGTATATTAACTGACTAAAAAATGAGGTCCGCGCTTCAACACGTGTATTGTCCGTGATTATCTCGCGTATGGCTAAACCAATTTTGACGTATTTTTAGTATTACCTTTTATATAAAAAAATATGAACATTACTAAAAAATATAAAATAAAAACTTAATAGAATCGACTTCGTCACCTACAAATCTTTTAAAGAATGAATATATTTTTTTTAAGTGATTCATTCTTTAAAAGATTTGTAATGAGGTCTTCTTTGTTAGTTTAGCGGATCAATTTTTATAGACGAGATTACCTTTATAAGATAAACATTTTGTTTTAGTTGGATCCATCGTCTAGCAGAAGGGAGATGGTAGTGCGTGTGACACAAGAACGTGCATGTCGTGGTGTACGCACACGTCGTACGGCCGCTGTGGATGTAGCCGATGATGGCAGCGCTCTTGTCTCAGAATGCTTCCACTTCAGACTTAGAGCTGACGAGCTTCACACTACCAGTGTGACAGTCCAAGCTCTGCAACCACATTCGGCATATGCTAAAGGTAACTTTTAATAATCCATAATGTCCAACATATTCTTTAGTTTTTTTTTTTTTACCGTAATAAACTTGCATTCAGCGTACTTTATGAAGAAATTTGAAATTGGCTTGACCAGGTAAATGGCGTCGATGTATCTGTTTATGTGTCTGATAAAATAATGATGAAACTCATACATCGCCACGCCCTATCATTAATGTAGTATCTACAAATATGCAACTTTACAGGAGAGCGGTTTAAAGATGAAAAGTTGAATAAAAACGATATTTTAAGGGTTAGGATTACGAAATGAGGCATGGGTGTTTTTTATTCTACGATATATTAAACAAATATAATAGACTAATTTATTTTACTTTATATACGTTACAATGTCACGTGAAGCTATTTTACACTGATATATTTTACTATCTTAGGCAGTATGTGGTAGAATCCAACTTTTTTTATTGTATAAAATTCTATATTACGTGTCGGATGTGGTAGGTATGTAGTTTTTGATCGGAAAACTAAGTATATTTTGTTAATTTTCCTATATACGATGTTTCTTATTCCAAAAAATGGAAATAATTTGCTATACCAAATTATAAATTTGAAATCTATTTTATTAATAAAATATGAGTGGCAAGTCTTTATATAAAATTAATAACTTTGTAATATTACCTGTATCATTACATGCACCATTTTCGACAACTGCGTTTTTTGGTAAAATAAGGCTAAAAATCCTTGAGGATCTGCTTCTTTGCGGTCGACCGACATTATATCTTTTGAAATGTGTATGTAATGTTTCACAACAATTCGGCGCTCCAAAGAACCTACGTGCATTTTCCCGACATTAACTATGTAACTGGCAGATCGACGCAGGATCGACACATCCACTCGTCGGTTATGTCCGATCAAAATTGACTGTGAGTACCTTCATTTTTGTACGTACACAAGCGACACTACCGACATTATTAACGTAATTATCTTCGTAATTATAATAAAATCAACAATTATTTTTTTGTGATCTTGTTCCTTACAGCCGCTTATGAGGTTTTATACAAAAAAAACAAAAATCGTTAAAATGCAGATCCCACATTAATGATAGGGCGTGGCGACATAACGTGAAATTGGAATGTCATGAGGCATATGATGAGAGTAATTAGCGCTGAGGAACTGAAGAAGTTGTGTAAATGATGTCCTTTACGGTATAGTGTCTCTGATTACACAGCTGCCCCACTATATAGTAAAAATAAAGTATTTGAGTTGGTATAATGATATGTTGTGAATTGATGAGTACGACATTTGGATGGTTTGTAATACAAATTATTTTTGTAACACAGTCGTGTACATTTCCGATAAGAGAGAAATACTAAGGATAATACAAAAACAAAATATTAATAAATTACTAGAGCATCACACATATTCCTCAAAACTCCAAACATAGTAGCTAAAGATCTTATTAAAATCTAAAACAAAAGAGACATTATACTTTTACTCTAACCAGACATGAAACCAAACCTATAATCGCACAGTTAGCGACATCTAAAACCGTGGTGAAAGGCACGGCTAATTTAGGTTATCAATTTAGACATAGAAACATGTTATGACAGATGATGACAATTTCTGAGTAATAAAGAAAAGATGAATGTCTACTTTTACTAATGTGTGAATTTATAGGTAAATAATTCCGCATTTGCTCGTTTATTTACTAGTAAATTAAAAAAAGATAACTTAAAGTGATTATTTCTTAAGGAAATAATCTGTGATATCAGCTTGATTGTGAAGCAGAACTACAATTTATTTTATAGCACACGGCGATGGTCTGTATAGTATACCTATCATAGAACATATTCTCGAGTCGTCGGTAAATACATAAAAGCGTCTTATACTCGTTTTGTTATTTTTCAATTTCATGCATCAGCTGAAATCTAGTGTTTACTTTATGCTACTTTCGCCCGCTCTAACAAAGGCTAACTGTTAAAGTACTTTTTTTTACAAGAAAGTGACAGATTTCAAAAAAAAAAAATTAAGAGTCATTAGAGTGCGTACGTCGAGCTATAATCCCTGGAAAATAAAAATAATTTAGGACACTACCATCTAGTGATATAAATATTGCCACTGTCGGAAATTTTCCATATCCAATATAGCCGAAAAACTGCCGGGCACAATGCTTTAATTCAACATTCAATATTGCTTTAATTACTCAGTTGATTTTTTTTTTATATTACGTATAGGCGATACATTTATTTTACTAAGCTTTAGATGTCGAGGAATTTTGAATAGCAGAACCAGTCGTTGTATCAGAAGAAGTTCCCTGACTTTCCCTTTCCCTTACTTCTTAAAGACACAATATAACGCGGAAAATTGTAACTATCCTAATTATAATTACGCATAACTTTGACTACATCTTCCGCATAATTCTGAACAGAGAGATCGTTTTCACCTGTAAACAAATCCGTTTACCTGGTTATATACCTCATAATTGGAAACTTATGAATAAAAGAAAATACATTTGTGAATATAGAATACTACTAAATGCTCCACTGAGATCAGTTCTGACTTCAATTATTATCATTTTGTCGTATAGATACTTAATTTTTTATGCACCATTGGAAAGTTCATTGGGAATTTTACTGGCAGTAAACCGGAAATATTGCTGAGTATTTCACCGGAAAGTTTGGAAATCTTCGATAGTACATAGAAAATCATAAAGTAATTTAAATTAAAAAAAATATAGAAAAATTTCCCAATATTCTTATTCCATGTTTTTTTTAAGACTAGTTATGCGGATACTTACCTACTCACCACGCACTCTTTACACATGATGACGCTTTCATAAAAATACTTTCTATAATTTGAAACCATAGAGTGATCATAGCTAAACATTATGATTCAATGAACTGTATAATCTACAACAGAAAATCTACAAACTGTTTTGCATTCGAAATATATCATTAACGTTGGCACCGACAGTTCGACCACAGAAATGGATATCCTATATGATTTTAATACGACATCAAATGATTTGTGGGCCATATAAATCAGAATGTTATACTCGGCAGTTCCATTATTTATACTTTTATAAATTTTAAAGGCTTAATCATGAATACAAATGAATATATCAATATAACTCGTTATGATATTTCTGAGTGGATTATTGATTTGCAAAGAATATATTGATAACCTATTTAAAAGTCAAGCATATTTAATGTAATTTTTACAATGATATAATAGCTGTGTGAATGAAAAAATAAAAATCCACTCAAAAATTTTATTAACACCCAACACCAAACAGAAAAGCGAGCATTTAGAATAACTAATAACATTGAGCCATAATACTTGACTGAGTTACACTTAAACTCGTGGGTATTTCAATTGGAAGGTCGTGGCAGATGGGTACCGCTTTACTAACTGTTAGACCCTTAAATCGATTAACTACCTATTATACTGATTTACTAGAATTTAGGGCTAACTTTTTGATAAGATAAAATTTTTGTTACATATTTTAAATTGTTAAGTCTGTGCGCGATCTGATTATGCAGATATTTTAGCTATTTATTTTTTAAAAGCGGGACACATCTACTGCGATATTGTAGCACCATTTATAATATACACAAACACTAGATAGACTTTATGTTTACACGCTGACGTCAACACACATATCAGTATGTATAAAACCTCTTTTTGCGTCATGGATTAATGAAAATTATGTTTATTCAAATAAAGAATTGACTGAACTCAGAATCGTTAAACATTTTTAACAATAAACTGTCTTAATTTGTTTCTCCAAAAAAAACTTGAATAATTTTTTTTTTAATTTTCACACCAACCATTAACATGTTTTAGTCTTTGTGCTGATAAGTAAAATGTGTGCAAGAAAGTTATAACTTTCCACTGCCAGAAATAACGACGTTTATTATTAACAAATCCATTATAATAAAAGAGCAATGATTTATTCATATATACTATAATAATAATATTTTTTTATTATACTTAATGAAAATTATTGGGCACCGCATTTAAAAAAAAAAAATATTGGCGACCTCCATAGTCAAGTAGCTCGCTTCAGTGCTTCAGATACTTTTACATCACAGAACACAGAAACCAAGTTCTGTGTTATTATTAAAATAGTTAGTATTAAAAACTTCATCTTTCATGCAAGCCAACAAGATTATAGATGTATATAAATTTATTTACTTAAACCTTAAACTCTGATTTAGTTTTGTTAAAATAATTTAACAGACCCTTAACTTTAAACATCGTTTCTTATTTTATCTTAAGGAATTTACTTAACGTTGTTATTAAAGTTTATATACTCAAACTCCAATTCAATTGCCTAAGTTAATCTTTATTCAGTCCGTTTAAGTAAACGAGGTATAAAATGAACTGGGCCATGTTATAAGGCGCTAAGTTAATTTATGTTTAAAGGTATATTGAATTTTATGTGATATAATTTTAATACATATTTAACTTAGTAAAGTTTCTATATTAAGTAAATTTTGAAGCATTATAATCGGTTGTGTTTGCGTGCAGAAGTTAAGCAACTTTCGCAAGGGCTGATCACATGTTGGGTAAACAAAAATTTCCGTGCTTCGTAATACACGTTAATTCATTAGTGTCGGTTGCGTCTGCAGTCGTTAACATCCACCAATCCGCACTTGGGCCATTTGATGGTTCATGGCCTACTCTCCTTATTCAATTCTATCTACAGAGATGGTCATTTTTTGATAACGCAGGGGAAATATACCTAAAGTCTTAAACCAGGGATCTCCAAATACCCCGCTCTGAATACAAATTAATATGGAAGGTATACTGCGACACGAAGAACCTGGTATCCTACAAAGAGGGCTCTGTTTCTTCCACCGTCCTGAGACTCCTCTTGCAGAGGGAGTGAAGTGGCCTTTTGTAAAAAGGGAAATACTAGGACGAATAACAGCCTTAGACGATAGACCGTCCTCGCAGACTAATTCCACGGAGGTGCGGGTGGGATGTCAGCCCTGTACTCCGATCAACAGAGGGATGTGATGCATCAATATTCGATCCCCCCCCCCTCCTTACCGCTTTCCTATTGTGAGTGCTGCCCGGGCCTCCCACCTGGGTTTCCCAAGGGCTAGTCCTAAGCCTGTCTTCTCGGGTCGTCCTCACGCACCTTTCTTCCCGCGGCCAGGAAGCTCTGTCGTCCCCTCGACATCTGAAAAACACCTGGATATACATTATTAAAACAATAAAAATGATTCTCCGAATCGGTCTAAAAATAAAAGGAAAAATAATTTATTCTCTGCTCATCCTGAATAAGTCGTAAGAGGCGATTGAAAAGATCTTATGCTATCCTTTAGTGAAGCGACAGCTGTCAATCTGCTAGCCTATAAATTGTTTTTCTGCGATGCGAAAATACGAAGATGCGGCCTTGGACCCTTTTTACAAGCTTTTTTTGTTTGTATTATATGTGAATGTTCGTTAAATCTTATAACAAAATTTTAAACTATTTACCCTCAACGCCATTCATTAGGTTTAGAGTATATGATATATGGTTTGCTGAGTTATATCGTTTTAAATATAATATGACTGACGGCCTATATTTGTCCAGTTATTTTAACATTAACTTTTACTACAGTTTCCATAACCTTATTCCTAAATGTCTGAGTCAAATAGCAGATAGTATCTCTAAGTAGTTACCTAGAGATAATGATTTCAAAATCTTAATGCTTAAAATAGAAATCAAGATTATTAAATAAGTTTTGTGTTCGTAGTGATATATTGTTTGTATTATTCGTAGTGATTATAAATCACTTATAGAAAAAGGCTTAAAAAAGTCATCCATTTCATTTCATATGAAAATATTTCCATCTTGATCATAGGTTATGTTTTTCCACAACTTTGCCCTCGTAAATTATATATAATATAACCTACGTTGCCCGCGTACGATGTATCTTCCCGTAGGTGAAATAATTTTTAAAATCGGCCCAATCCAGTTAAAATCGTAGCTGCAGTAAGGATGTAGAAGTTTGAGACGGTAAATTTATGATCAGCCATCCTGTGCTCAGCCAGAGAAGATTTAATTTTTTTTAATCCTGCCGCATAAACAGGAGTGTTATAGGTTTAACCGTAATGTGTAGGTATCTGTAGCAACGTAGCTCTTGAACGGGGGTGCCGATTTGGATGTTGTTTATTTTGTTCTCATAAGAAGTATTGAACGTTTAGAATTTATATATTATCTATAAATATTATACATATAATATTGTTTCAGATCGCCTTCTCGGCAAGTTTGTGCTCGGGTCCTACATGTTTGCCAGAGGGCGAGCACTTCAACATTGGAACTCTGCCCTCGCATCGCCAATGGAACAAGTTAAACAATGGCACCCGCTCAACAATTAACTAATTAATTAGACTCGGCCAACTCGTAAAACTGATAACCGTATTATATGTGTAAAATAACTACTAACAGAAATACTTTATATTTAACTTTCACATAAAAACTTTATTTTTCAACTTTCGTTTTTGTCAATGTAATGAACTAAATTTAATATTGATGAATTATATTTTTAAAACAAAAGTGGCATAACTAACACCGAAAATAGATTGAAAACATAGCTTAAACAACAGCAAAAAAAGTTTAGAAAATTGATATTTCGGTGACATTTCATTTAATTACAAAACATTAGACAGATATCAATATAATTTATTAATAACTAAATTTTTTTTCTGTTCTTCTCTCGTTTGTTTATTATATTTTGATACATATATTAAAAACTTTTTGTTTAGATGTCAATGATATGTATTTTTAGTAGCAGTTATTATAATTTTTACTCTAGTCATGTTATCGAATGATTTTCGATGTTTTATTACTAAAGTACATTATTTAGTGTTGATCCACAATTAAAGTCAGATTTTGTAATATTAATTCAAGGGTTTAGAGCTATATCTCACTGAATGTCTTGGCAGCGAAATCCAGCAGCGCCTCCGAGGCTACCATTTGCATCTGCGAGGCATTTTAGTGACCAAAGCTGACGCCAGAGATGTGATTGGTAGATTTTTTTATATGACGACTGGCGTCCAAATAAAATGAAAATGTCGCCAAGTGTGGTAAAGTTAGATATGTTGCAATATGAGAAGCTTTCATTGGCGACGCCGCCGAAGTCATGATATCGTAATAAGATACAGCTCTGAAATGTTGTATTCCAATTTAAGTGAGTTTTTCTTGACATGAAATTCAAACAAATTTTTGTATAAACTTACCTAGCATTTATAAAATAGTCTTCTGCATGAATACCTACTATTAATCAACATATCGATTGGTGAAAATTCTAAAAAATATATATAAATCACTTAGTATTTTTGTAAAACAGATTTACACATTTATGGAATAAAACTTTCGAAATTTAAAGTCCTTGAATCAAAATTAAAATAATGCTTTTACAATTTATAAATGAAAATTATCCTTCGCACAAATTTATGAAATATTTCAGATATTTATTTATTTCTTATATAATGTCATAAAGAATAATTATAACGTTTATATTAATAATGAAATATAGTATATAAAATTTTATGTATAAACAATGAGATATTTATATTCCAATGTGTATTAATAAACAATATTGCCAATAATTATATTAAAGTAAGTTTAATATAGCTATATATATCTATTAGGTATAATTTCTATTTGTGCAACTGGAATAATGGAAATAAATCGTAATACCAAATTGGTGGAATTTCGGCGTTTTTATTCATATTTTATATTTTTTTTATACCAACTCTCTTTGTCAAAAAGGCCTTCAGATGTTTAAGACTTAATGAAGGTCTAATCTAGATTTATATGAGGTCCAGAACAAATTAAGTTTTCTATAGGAAACGAAAGCCTGAACCTCTGTTGAATGTGGCTAGAGCAACTGTTCTCTAAAATTCAATTACAGTTTATTCTTGGGGAGACTCTTATAACTTTTTATAACTCACTTTCAACTTTCTCAAATATTTAGAATAGGCAACTATGACTTTTAAATTTTTGAAGTTCTAGGTACATCCAAAACATTTTTCAAAGACTCTACCAAATAAATTTCAGAAACATAAAGGGAGTTTCAAGATGATTAAACTTAATTCACCCCTAAAAGTCGTACATCGTAATTATTTGAAACGTCAATAAATTTGTTTCGAATAATGTCACTGTACGTTTAATAAGTAAGCGTTTACGTTTTATCTCAATTAGAAAGCGTAAATTCAAAGGGAATGTTGCTTGTTGCCGATTAAATTTCCGTGCGAGGATCAATGAAAATGTCACACGCTCGCTCATACATATCTAGGGCTTTATGTTTGATTAAAAATTGAGCACCATATTTTGTACCACGAAATATATACAATAATAAAATAAATTAATATTTAAGGGCCTCCCGTACAATATGTTCCCGAAATCAAAATCCCGTATAACTCTTCGTCCGCGAATCCGATTTACACTTTTGTTTTGTTTTGCTTTGTGATTGGATTAAAAATAAAGAGATCAGTAAAAGAACTAATTTAATAGCTTCGAGAGGATTGTTCAGCTGAAGTGCTAGTGAATGGGACAAATAGCCAGAAGTACCGATGCCTGTTGGGGTGGAAAATTTTTGGAGTAACGACCATGCACCCGAGGCGGCTCAGTAGGTAGGTCCCCGAGTCATGTCGCCCAACGACTTAATAGTCCTTGCTACTTACTTTATGCAATTTTCGATATCACTTATTTACTAGAGAAAGACAACATATCATTATAAACAGCAGTCTATCTTTTATTTAATACCTTGTATACTACTAATAGTCACAATTAAATAATTTCATTGTCACCTTTTACGTCCTCATTGCAGGGGCGTTAAATCATTTCAATATCAAAAATTAAATCATATTCATAATAGTGCTATTAGTGAGGCGGCTTGAAATAATCAAATTCACTCGGGGGCCTCATCGTAATTAGGACCATAATAAGTAGGTAAAATAAAAATGAAAAGAATATACTGTTAATGCACGCGGTAGAACTCTTTTATGCAATCAAGATAAACATATAGTTTTGAGGAGAGATCCGTGTAACGAATGATCTTAAATACGAGGCTGATAATTTTATTCTAAATTTACCCTGGAAGAATATAATTAATACTTTACACTACACTATTAAGCCCCTCCTAATCCATATTAGCCAATAAGACAAACGTGAGATAATACGTTATAACGAGAACTACCATCATTTCATGAAATAATATAGGACACTATCAAATAGCTATAATTACAATCATAATCAATTGAAAAATGCTTTATTTTTGAAAACGGTAAAAAACATTGCACGCCAAAAATTTAAATAAATATTTAATTATCTTATGTTGAATGTAAATTTTTGCTCAAGGTAGAGTTTCCTCTCTAAATTATTCAAGTAAATCTAATTTAAAGAGGTCCGCTTCATTTATTTATATTTTCCTGGAAACTTATTATGTTTTACCGAAACAAAAGATATAAAAGAATCAGACGAAAAATCGAGACCTCTCTATTGAGAAGTGATGATCAGAAATAAGTTGCTTTTACCGTTTATTACATTAGGAATGAGTCGAAAAGTACAAATCACTATTTTATCCTATTACAGAACATACCAAAAAAGTTATTATTAGAACAGCTGGGCAGTATGTAACTTTAAAAATTTTTGGCAACAGTGGAAGGAATCGCTCTTGAGCTTTGAATACTGCTTACCCATTTCTTAAAGTTTTTTTATCGCTACCATCACAATATAGAGTATATAATAGTTGCAATAATTGTAGAATTAGGTCACGGCTCACATTAAATAAAGACGTGAATCTTAAGCCATAGAATGTCTGTTCATCGGCCGATATGTGTCAGTCCCCGCCACTTTATATACCTCGTGCTATAGATTATCTATGGAACATTCTTATTTCATTCGTTTTTATCCTTATTGATCTTTTGTTATGGAAGATATTTAATTCAAGATTCAATTTTTTTATCAACGAAATATCATTACAAAATAATAACATACTAATAGGCTTAGGCTAGACAAGCTTAGTTCTAAACAAAACTAACAAATTCACTCTGAAATTCGGTCGATTGCAATCTATTTATTGTTGGTATAATACTTATGACTCTCAAGTTAAAGTTGGACAAAAGCTATCAAATTGCTCAATTTAGTTTAAGTTTTAATTGTTGTTGATTTAACATGATTTGTAGGTCTGTCATGATTATTATTAATTTATGAATTTTACAAACAAATAACTACGTTTTCAAATGACTTGTCAATATGTGGTAATTTGATGCGCCGCTGTTTGCACCTACAATGTACATTAAGTCCATTAAAAAATCATGTTCGCTGATTTCTTTGTTCATGAAATCGTAGACGAGTTATTACGCAATAAAAGAAAGTAAATGTGTGAGTTTATTGATAGTAAAACATGAATGACAAATAGACAACATTGTGACAGGTTTTATTGATTCAACACATATATGCCTATATCTACAAAAGACGGTCAAAATGTAATCCTGATTAAAAATTAGGTACATTTAGTAACATGCAATTGTCAGTCACATATGCTAATATGTGACTGACAATTGCAGTCTAATGCTTGTGATAAATTTCCTCTGTTTATTGTTTTGGGCCTTGAATTTGCTTATATGCTATGTAGCAACTTTATTAATAATGCTGTGCTCTAAATATTTTAAGTTGGGTCTATTTAATGCCGGTTCCTTGAGCACTGGACAAGACGATCTTGTGGCAGCTGTGTTGCAATGTGATGCCGATATCGTTGCCATAAATGAGACCTGGTTGCAGTCGGGACAGGAGGCGCGTGCACCGGCGATGCCTGGCTACCGACTGCGGAACACGCCGCGGCCGCTACATATGCGGGCCGGCCGGGGAGGAGGGGTAGCATACTACATTAAAAGTGGTATTCGAGTCCGTTATTTAAAACACCCGGAGGCTGATATTGAACAAATGTGGCTCACTACTAAAATAAATGGTTCCACTCTCGCTATAGGAACTGCTTACAGGCCGCAGTGGGTTGACGTGGACGTGTTTTTGGAGGCGTTGACGGAGTCAGTAACATATTTTGGGCAAAATGACTGTGTTGTTCTGATGGGGGATTTCAACGTTAATATGCTTAACCAAAACAGCGGCGAAACTTTGAAAATTAATCAGTTTCTCAATTATATGGAGCTTGTGCAGGTGGTGACCGAGCCAACACACTTTACCGATACATCACGAACTCTTATTGATTTGGTTTGTACCAATTGTCCTGTACGAAAAGTGGAAGTATCTCACGTTTCGGGTTTGATGGGTCACTGTTTGGTAAATGTTACTCTCACTGTGAAAAAACCTATACTGCCTAAACGCATGATCACTTTCAGGCCTATTAAACACA